TATATGCATATACATATATACATATATACAATATATATATATATATATATATATATATATACTTATATGTGCATGTATATCTTGTATAATATATATGTATATATAATTGGAGACACTTTTCTGTCTCTCAGCTCCTCATGGCCGTCTCGTGCCTTCTTTAAAGCAGCAGCAACAGCTGCTGCTGCAGCAGATAAGGGATCTGCTGCAGCGTGCTTCGCTAGTAGCAGCACCAGTAACAGCAGCAGCAGCAGCAGCAGCTGCTGCTGCTGCTGCTGCAGTACCGACGCTGTTGGTAAAGATCTGTGTGCAGATCCGCAGCACCAACATCTGCCTTTGGGGTGTCTCTGCTGCTGCTGCTGCAGCAGCAGCAGAGCAACAGCAAAAGGAAGCGTAAGGTTGTCTTCTTCTGCGGGCTGCCATCCGCAGCTAGCTGCAGCTAGCTGCAGCTAGCTGCTGTATAGACTCTTCAGGAGCTCCTCCAGCTGCTGCTGATTATTAATATATTTATACAGCAGCAGCAGCGGCGCTGCTGCTGCTGCAGGGTCCTTGCTCTGGCGTGTTGCTGCTACTCGCGCTGCTGCTGCTGCTGCTGCGAAGCAGCGGGAGGCAGGCGGCAGGGAGGTTCAGCTCGAAGAGACGAATTGCTGCATGCTGCAGCAGTTGTTGCTGCTGCTGCAGTTAGTGCTGCTGCTGCTGCAGTTGCTGCTGCTGCTGCAGTTGGAGCTGGTCCTGCTGCAATCGATGGTGCTGCTGCATTAGCTGCTGCAGCAGTTGCTGCTGGTGCTGCAGTGTCTGCAGCTGAAGCAGCAGTAAGAGCAGGAGTAACTGCAGCAGCAACAGCAGCAGCAGCAGCTCTTTGCTGTAGCGTTGCTGCTTATTCTTTGCGTGTGTCTCCGCTAATACCTGTGTTGTTGTACACCCTAAACCCTAAACCCTAAACCCTAAACCCTCATAAATACTTCTACCAGCAAACACCAGACGCCTCCTGCGAAACCCTAAACCCCCGGGGTCTCTTCTCTAGTAAACCCTAAACCCTAGCCTTACATTATCCAAACCCTAAACCCTTGAATTCTTTCTTTTTCTTATACAAACCCTAAACCCTAGCCTTCTATCGAACAAACCCTAAACCCTACAGTTCTTTGCTTCTCGCACACAAACCCTAAACCCTAAGAAGGAAAACAAAAAAGATACCCCGCGATGCTGCTGCTGCTGCTGCTGCTGCTGCGGGGGCGGAAACAGGAGCAGCAGTACAAGCAGCAAGTGCAACAGCAAGAGCAGCACTTTCAGCGGCAGCAGCAACAGCAGATGCAACCACCGCAGCAGCAGCTGCGGCTGCCGCTGCTGCACCAATCACTGCAGTGGGGACTGCAGCAGCAGGAGAACGAGCAGCAGCAACAACAGCAGCAACTTCTGCTCTTACTGCTGCCGCTGCTGCTGCTGCAGTTGCTGCTGCTGCTGCAATTGTTCCTGCTGCTGCAGCTATTGCTGCTGCTGCAATTGTTTCTGCTGCTGCAGCTATTGCTGCTGCTGCCGCTGCTGCTGCTGTTGCTGTTGCTGCTGCTGCTGCTGCTAGGCTTGCTGCAGGTATTGTATTACTTTGCCTTCAACAGCCTCCAAACAATACGAAGAACAGAGACCGCTGAAATCCCCCAAATAAACAGCACCAAGCAGCACCTGCGGTGTACATACAGCAGCAGATGATGCAGCAAATGCAGCAACAGCAGCAGCAGCAAATGCAGCAACAGCAAATGCAACAGTAACAGAAAACGATGTATAAATATATACATATAGAGCATACAGGGTATAAGGGACGGTCGGCGTAAAGGGTTTAGGGTTTACGACTATCTACTGAGGGTTTAGGGTTTAGGGTTTAGGGTTTGAGAGATGGCTGGAACCCTCGCTTCTTGCCTTCCCCACCCTAACTAGCCCTGTTACCTTTTTGCAGCCATCCCTAGGGTTTCGAGTATAGGGGTTAGGGTTTCGAGATTAGGGTCTAGGGTTTAGGGTTTAGGGTTTCGAGATTAGGGTTTAGGGTTTAGGGTTTAGGGTTTACAGAGAAGAAGCGGGTATAGGGTGAAGTAGCCGCGTAGATGAAAGCGAAGGGGGGGATATGAGGGTTTGCTTGCGGCAGCCACTCTAACAAAGTCCTCAAGTACAGCAGCAAACGAAACAACCTGCAGCAGCAGCAGCAGCAAATGCAGCAGCAGCAAATGCAGCAGCAGCAAATGCAGCAGCTGCAGCAAATGCAGCACCAGTAAATGCAGCAGCATCAAATACAGCGGCAGATGTAGATGCAGGTGCTGCAGCAGATGAGATAACAGGAGCAGCAATATATGCTGCAGGATAACGAGCAGCAGATGCAGCAGCAGCAGCAGATACAGTAGCAGCAGGAGCAGCAGCAGCAGTAATAGTCGTAATAGAAGAATAGATGCTGCTGCTGCTGCTGCTGCAGGATTAAGGACAAGACACGCAAGAGATGCATCAGCAGCAACAAGGGCAGCAGGGGCAGCAGCAGCACCATCAGCAGCAGACGCAGCAGCAGCAGCAGGAGACAGACTTGATAGAAACAATCGCTGCATGCAGCAGCGGCTTCTTCTGCTGCACACCAAACAGCAGCAGCGGCCGACAGAGACGAAGTCCTCTCACAAACAACTCTGTACACAGATCACTGCTGCTGCTGCTGCTGCTGCTGCTGCTGGGTGTTGCTGTGGGGCCCCACAACCCGAAGAGGGACCGCCAGCCCCTCGCCTTCGCAGCAGCAAAGAGGGGGGCACCCCCCCTCTGCTTGCAGGGGCCCCCAGCAGCAGCAAGAGCCTTAGAAGAATAACTTAGGAGAGGAGCAGCACCAAGGAGAAATGCTGAGGGAATCAGACTCCGCTGCTCCTGCTGCTGCTGTTGCTGCTGCCGCTGCTGGTGCTGTTGGAGCTGCCCCCAGATACGGTCCGCCCTAGGAAGGAGACGGAGGTATGAAGGTCTACTGCAGCAGCTGTACTTGCTGCTGCTGCTGTTGCTGCTGCTGCTGCTGCTGCTTGTGGTGAGGCTGTGCTGCAGCGACGGTGTGGGACCGCCTGTTAGCAGCTTCGCCTCCGCAGCAGCAGCAGCAGCAGCAGCGACAGCAACAGCAGCAGCAAGAAAGCACCACAGATCCCAGCAGCAAGTCTTTCTCATTGTATTAATACATTCCCAGCTGCTGCAGCAGCAGCTGCTGCTGTCAATAAACCCTGTGAACCCTATGGGGGGCCCCAAACACACTTTTGCTGCTGCAGCACTTAACCTTAAGACATTTGCTGCTGCAGCACTATACCTCACAACATTTGCTGCTGCAGCACTTCATATCACCTTCCTTTCTCTTCTCCTGCTTCATCTCTAATACTAGCAGCAGCAGCACAAGACCGGGGGGCCCCCCTGTTGGGGGCCCCTGGGGGCCCCCGTGGGGCCCCGAATGAGGGGCCCCCAGGGGGGCCCCCTGGGTGCTGTTGGCTGTTAGTTAGATTTGTTATTGTGTGTATAAGGTTTTTTTCAATGTTTTTCGTATTATTATTTAATCGTTTTTGTCGAGGGTTTAGGGTTTTGTAGGGTTTTAGGGTTTACCGGTTAGGGTTTAGGGTTTAGGGTTTGTTGAAGCGAGGCAGCAGATACGGGGTTACGAGCTTTATTCTGTTTCTGCTGCTGCTGCTGCTGCTGCTGCTGCTGCTGCAGGCAGCAGGGGAAGTGGCATCCCCGCTGTCTCCTCCAGGGTATAGGACTGCATCTGCACCCCAAACCCTAAACCCTAAACCCTAAACCCTTAGTTCTGACGCCCTACGCAGGCTACAGCCAAGGGATATGGAGGGGCCTGCTCGGCCCCTGCTGTTTCTGCTGCTGCTGCTGCTGCTGCTGCTGCTGCTGCTGTTGGAGACCGAAGCAAAAATGTTAGCAGCAACCCTCGCAATAACAAACGCCTCCTGGGCCTTCCCTCCTGTAAGCCCTGCACTGCAGAAGCAGCAGCAACAGCAGCAGCAGCGGAGGCCCCCCGTTTACGCTGCTTGGATTTCTACTGCTGCGTCGCCGGCGCGTTTGAGTAGTAGCAGCAGCAGCAGCAGCAGTCGCCTATGCAGCAGCAGCACCAGACCTGCGCGCAGCAGCAGCAGCAGCAGCAGCAGCAGCAGGCCACTGCAATCTTCTTCTCGTTTATTTTGTGTCTCTTTTGACAGAGAAGAGGAGGAGGTAAGAAGACGCGCAGCAGCAGCAGCAAAAGGAGACAGCAGACACCGGAGAAGGAGACACGTGCTGCGCTGCTGCTGCGCTGCTGCTGTGCATGCAGACACTCGAAGCCCTATCCAACAAACTGCAGCAGCAGCTGCAACTCCAGCAGCTGCAGCAGCAACTGCAGCAGCAGCAGCAACTGCAGCAGCAAGTGTCTCCCTTGCCTTCGCCACCCGATACCGCCTCTGCTATTCTGCAGCGCAAGTCAGCCCTAACATTTCTGCTGTTGCTGTTGCTGCTGCTGCTGTTGCTGCTGCTGCCGTTGCTGCATGAACTGCTGCTAGTGGCGCTACTTGCTTGTGCTGCTGCCCGTTGCTGCTGCTGCTGCTGCAGCAGGGAGCGTGTTAAGTCTCGTTCGTGCCTATGGTGAAATTTGCTGCTGCTGCTGCTGCTGTAGCTGCTGCTGCTGCTGCTGCTGTAGCTGTTGCTGCTGCTGCTGTTGCTGCTGCTGCAGTGAGGCCTTCGTTGCATGTTAGTGTGGTGTGCTGCAGTTTGCTGCTGCTATCACAGCCCTTGTCTGCTGCTGCTGCGCAGCTGCTAACCGCTCAGCTGCTGCAGCTGGGGGCCTCCGGGGCCCCTGCAGCTACTTTGTACATTAACTCTCCCGGTAAACCCTAAACCCTAAACCCTAAACCCTAAACCCTCTACGAAGTGTTTCTCTCTTTTCTCACCTCTTTATCTGTCTCGTTTTTATTTGTATTTATTTGTCTCCTTTGTTTGCTGCTGTCTCCTGTCTCTCTCCCTATCTGTTTCTAAACCCTAAACCCTAAACCCTAAACCCTAGTCGCCTGTGCACGTTACAAATCCCTCCTATGCTATGGCGCTCTGCGCCTCCATCTTAGGGTTTAGGGTTTAGGGTTTAGGGTTTGCTGCAGGCTACAGCCCCGACGGGCAAGGGGGAGTGCACGGAGGCGACTTAGAGTGGCTCTCTGCTGCTGCTCTGCTGCTGCAGCATCAGGCTGCTGCTGCTGCTGCTACACACAGCAGCAGCAGCAGCAATGCAGCAGCAAATCAGCAGCAGCAGCAGCAGCAGCCTCTCACTGTAACTACGATAGCCCTGGGGCATGCGGGGGGCCCTGCTGCGCTGCTGCTTGCATGCGGAGCAGCAGGGAGACGCTTCGCAACTCAAAATACTTGGTAATATGCTGCTGCTGCTGTTTCTTGCTGCTGCTGCTGCTGCTCTTGCTGCTTCTGCTGCATTTTTCTGCTGCTGCTCACGTGCCCCCGGCACTCCTTTGGTGCGCAGTCGTCTGCAGCGTAAGTATCTTGCTGTTGCTGCTGCTGTTGCTGCTGTTGCTGCTGCTGCTGTTGCTGCTGCCTCAGGTTGAGTTTAAAGGCCCCACCTCTCTGCTGCAGCGGCACACCAAAAGAAATTGCATGCAGAGCGGAGGCAGCGCGCAGTGACCGCGAGCTGTACATACACCTGCTGCTGCAAGCCACACAGCAGCAGCAGGAGCAGCAGGAGCAGCAACAGCAGCAGCAGCAGCGGGAGAAGCGAATAAGGGGGCTGGTGCTGCAAGGAGGGATTATCGATGCTGCTGAAGCGAAGGCCCTGAAGTTAATCGATCAGGTATACCCAATATGCTGCTGCTGTTGCTGCTGCTGCTGTCGTTGCTGCTGCTGTTGCTGCTGCTGCTGTCGCTGCTGCTGCTGTCGTTGCTGCTGCTGTTGCTGCTGCTGCGGCTCTTGCTGCCGCTGTATTTATTGCTGCTGCTGATTGCTGCGCTGCCCGCTGCTGCTGCTGCTGCTGCTGCACTCTAATGTGCTTCAGGTATTATCCTATTAGCTGCTACTCTCCGTCTCCTTGCTTGAGGCCCTGGGGACAGCCAGCAGCAGCAGCAGCAGCAGCAGCAGCACTGGAAACCGGTCTCTGCTGCTGCTTCCGCAGCAGCTAGCACGCCGATTCCCACCTCATCATAGCAGCAGCAGCAGCTGCTGCTGTTGCCGCTGCTGCTGTTGCAGCTGCTGCTGCTTCGTGGGGGCCATTTAAGAATGAAGATATTCTTACTTCATTCTTCTCTCCACCACATGCATTTGCTGCATCTGCTGCTGCTGCTGCAGCTTGTGCTGCTGCTGCTGCAAGTAGCTGCAGCTTGTGCTGCTGCTGCTGCTGCTGCAAGTAGCTGCAGCAGTCAGTGGTGTTGTGTTTTTGTTTGTTTTGCGTTTAATAGAAAGAAATATGTCCGTCTTCACTGATATATATAATATACATAATATATATTATATATATGTCCTATATAATATATATAATATATATTATTATATATGCCGCCTCTCTATATATAATCTTTCTATTGCTATATATTTTATCTGTTGAGTAATAATTATATTTTATTTTTTTATTAGAAGTAAAATATAATTATTAATAAATTTATTTATTTAGTTATTAAATAATTTTTATTAGTTTGATTTATAGATATCTCTGAAGAAACAAAATTAATATATAGTTATGATTAGATACTTATAAATAATTATATGTTCAATCTAATGCATTTTATTTAATTATATTTAATTACATTTAACTTCAATTATATTTAATTACATCTTATTTTCTTTTGTTTATTTTATCTTATGCATTTTTATTTGGCTTTGTTTGTTCTTTACATCTATATTAATTTTATCTTAAGTTTTATTTTAATTGTCTTTAAATATATATATATATATATATAAATATGTACATGTATATATAAATATAATTATTTAATACATAGCGAAGAATGTTTATATTTATATATATAAATATACACTTTATATATAAATGTATATATAAAAATATATATATTATATATACAAATATCGATAAAAAATTGTTTAATAAAATGCATGCATATATAATTATTATTCTTGATAGTTAGTCATCACAAAAGGCCTAACCATCTATATATATATATATTCAATATATAATATAATATATATTATATATATATAATTATTCTTGATAATTAGTGAGCACAGAAGGCCTAGCCATCTATATATATAATATATAATATATATATACACAATATATATATAAGTATATATATAAATATATAAATATATATATATATATATTTATATATTTATTCTTGATAGTTAGTGAGGACAGAAGGCCTAACCATCTGTCTGCCTATTGCACCGATCCACGCTTCTTTTTCTTGAGGTGTATCTGCATGTAAAAAGAAAACTCTATTTGGTGTCTCTACTCTAAAGACGTTTGCTTTATTCAACTCTTCTTCTGCACTCTTTACTGTGCAGCAATCAAGCAGATATAATACCTAAGCAATACACACAAACATAATATATATATATATATATATATATATGTATATGTATATATGTATATAATAAATATATATATATATATATATTAATATAAGCATATAATATATATATATATAAGACCTATTTAACAGACAGCAACACATAAAAGCATCATAATATGCATATATATATATATATATATATATATATATATTGTATGTATATTACGCAATCCTAACAGTAATATATATAATATATAAATACACAAATAAATTAAGCATGAAAAAGCGAAAGAGGAGACAAACAAATAATTAGAGATGCCGCAAACACAAGACAAAGCAAACAGCAAACAAAAACAAAATAAATAAATAAATAAATAAACAGATAAATAAATAAATAAATAAATAAATAAACAGGCAAGCATACATACACCTGCCCTTCTTTATAATGTGAGAGAAGCAGCAAAGAGACGAAGAAGAGAATAAAAGCAAAAGTAATAAAAACAAGAAACAACAAAAAACAATATATATATTGAGGTGTACGTACACCGCAGCAACGGCACCCATCTCCTTCGGCTGCAGTATAAGAAGAAGAAGCTTCGCCTAGGGTTTAGGGTTTAGGGTTTAGGGTTTACCTCTGTAGGCCTTTGTGCATGCACTTCTGCTGATTTATAGCTGCAGAGACACCTGGGAGTTAAGACAAACCAGCGCCTCCTCCACTGCTTTAAATATCGGCTTTGCTTGCCTAGCCAGCCCTCCTTAACAATGCCCCCTTGATTAAATGCTGCAGCAGAATCTGCCTCTGATGCTGCGCTCATTTTCAGGTGTATACGCAGCTACGAGCTGTACGTACACCGTAGAGTTTGATGGAGGCCCCCGGCCTCTGAAGGTCTGCTGCTCTGTTAATCGCAGCCAGGTGTATATATACACCAGAGTAAGTTTCTTTAAAAGAATTATTATAATTTTATATAATTAGTGTTATTTATATGCAAAATACGCAAAATAGAAGAACAAATATTACAATACACAACACCAACAACAGCAGCAGCTGCAGCAGCAGCAGCAGGTTCCTGCTGCTGCTGCTGCTCGCCAGGAGGGAAGAGCTCAGGTGTACAGACACTGCAGCGCTTTATGCTGCAGCAACAAACAAAGAAAGAGAGTAGTTTTAGTTATATTCATTAGAAGAAATCAAAAATAGAAGACAACAAAGGAAGCACAAGACAACAGCAAATCCGTACATGCAGCAGCAGCAGCAGCAGCAGCAGCAGCAGCAGACCAGCAGCAGCAGCCGGCGGCCAATGGAGGTGCCTATACACCTGAAAATTAGGCGTTTTAACGCTTAATTTTAATCTAATGAATTAATATTTGTTTGTTTTTATTGAAAAAATTAATATCTACAAACATAACACCCTCAGGGCTCTGCTCTGCTAGGGGCCCCTAACCCCCTGTCTTCTTCCGGTGTATGTACACCCCAACTAACTATGATAAATTGCTTGCCTTTTTATTGCATTACAAATATATACTGCTAATGAGCATGCAACGGCCTATATACCAATAAAAGCATATTGAAAAATATAAGAGGAGTTCGTATATCTATACAAACATATATATATATATATATATATTTATATATATATATATATATATATATCTGTATCTGTATAAG